TACCACTTTTGGTCAGTTAAAGACCATAGTTTAAAAATTCTGTCATGAGTGGTGCAATATTTATGGAAGTCACTGTACTTTCAATGCTCGCTTACTGCGGACTAGTGATGCAAAACAGAAATAATAGCTGTTCCATCGCGTTTGAGTTGGTCTTACTAAGGCATAATATTTTCCATATAATGCTTTCTGCTCCTGACGCAGCTTGCTAATCCAAGATGAATGTCTATTGTCTGTAAAATATGCTACAATTGTGACAGCTCCTGATGACGCAATTTTATATTGAGGTGATGACTTAAAAATATCCGCTACACACAGGTTCGCTTGATGCGCGAAGCAAGGTAGAAAGACTATGCTAGTATATTCTAATCGCATTTGTCGTCTAATAAATTAAATTACTATCAGAATTTATAAAAAACTGCAAAAATTAATAATCATTGGACTTTTTTTCATTTATTGGAATTAACGTTTTCTGTCATTTAAAATCCGAAACTTATGCTAACCTTGCCGCTGCATAGGCTGAGGCACTGTCTGTGACCACTGCAATGATTTTAATACCATTGCTCTCCGCTCGCATGAAAAAGTCTCTGATTTTTTGGACTACATCTATTGCACAGGCACCATCCCCTGAAATATCTTCTGCGCCCCATACGAGAACTTTTCCTTTGCTTGTAATTAGAACGCTCCCTAATATTTCTTGATGGTTGACATTTTTCCATCCATCAAATGCCAACGTATTCCCAATTTCTTCTTTTTTTGCGTCAACAACCTGTTTCCGCTGCAACTCCGCACTATGTGATGAAAGTATACGACCAGCAAGGGCGCGACGTCCAGGTAAAGAAATTACTGGATTGAGAAATTTAAAAAGTGCGATTACCTCAGGATTCTCAATCCACCTAAATGCCCACCCATTACTGACAGTAGCTTTCAAAAGGTGTTGTTCAAAAATTATATATTCCGCTGAATTTAAATCACGGACAAGATAGTTCTCAATAGGACCTTTTAACGATCGATTTCTCGAATGACGCACAGGGCGAGAAGGGGGCATATCAGTAGTATGTGGCATTGTGGTCGCCTCGGAGGAACTTGAAAGAAAGTTGTGACTGATGGTGCTTGAATGTGTGACTGAGGAGGTATCTATGTTCTGGCCTTCTTCATCTGATCCATACAGGATCTCTAACCTAGCTTCTTCACCGTGCTGCTCAGCAAACTGTGGACACTTTTTTAGGTGTGCCTTGACACAAGTCTTAGTGTTAGTAAATACTGACCTTTCTAGCGCTAACTCTCTCCCAAGTTTGTTGATGCATGCTTTGCATGCTGCAGCTCTGTTGGATTTATTTACTCTTATTGATAGAACCTCAACATATGGTGTGAGTCGGTGGGGTGGTTTTCCGCCGGTGTGTTGTTTCATATTGTCAGTAGGAATATGTGAGATGAGATGTGATGACACTTTGACATTTTATTGGCTGTTATTATTGGTTATCCTAAAAAGGCAACTTTTCCATTCGCTAATGGAGCAATGGATCATACTCCATTGATTCCATTCGCTCCATTGGATGTCAATGGAATGCTCCATTGCCAACAACCTGCTGCGCCACAATGGAGTCAATGGAGCCAATGGAGTACAAGCTCCATTACTCTATTCCATTGAATTCCGAATAGAGCAGATATATACCAAGGCTGTAGATATTATACTGCTTGTCATCTCCTTTTAAAGTAATTACTTTTATTCTTTGCCATGCATACTGTATATTATAGCTTGGATAAACGATAAGTGCTCTTGACTCACTATTTTCTTTTTATGTATACAAAATAATGATATAACGCAGTAACCTTTATTAACGCCAAAGTATACCAATGATACAACGAACCATAGCAACAATTTTTATTCCACTCTACAACCATTCCAAGGCTGTTACGAAGGGTAATATATTAATATGTAAAGTAGACTGGTTCTCACAAACCAATGCACTAATCATCTGATATCACATATAAAGGCATAGTAATTGAACATATTACGAGAGTGACCATAGTTGACGTCCGCTCAGAGGCGTAGTGCGAAATATCATGAAATAAAATATAAAATATCCGATCGATTTATTACTCCTATACAAAAAGCACAAGTATCAAGAAGGCACTGGTAAAAGCGTTAACTAAGAAATTATAACCGAAAAGGAGTAAAATTTAAGCACAAGGAAACTGTGCATAGGCTTCTTCGTGAAGGAAGTGTAATTTCTTTACTGATTGAAATGATGGACGCCAATATTGAGTACGGGGTGAAGCAGATGTATTGTATTGTGACTCAAAGATTGCAGGTATTGATGTTTGTGATTGATATTGAGGAGTTATTGATGTTGTTTGGGTTGTAGTACATGGTTCGGGTAAAGAGAAACTAATGAAGAATCAGCAGTAAAATCTATATTCTTGCAAAGTAGGTGAATCAACGATACGGAAATTAGAATCAGATTCGTTAAAAATGATGACTGACCGGATCGCTATTTATAAGAAAATTTATATTGTTTTGGCGATCATTTATGGATATTGATTGATTGACATTGTTTTAAATACTAGGACACGGGAACCGTTATGAGTCCGGAGCGAAAATTCAAAGTAGCCAATTTTAAGAGATAACAATAACGTCAATCACAATTATGGGTCGAGATCATGTGCCGGACAGAGAAAGCCATTTTAACTGGTAGTCCGATTTGGTCTGAGAAGTATTGTATTTGACTATTAGTTTATCACCCTCTAATTTGATGGATTTGATACTGTGTTGAAATTCATGTGATCGAAATTTTTCCTTCGCTTTGCTCCGGACAATTAAATTATTTGATTTTTTGGAAGAAAACAGTAGTAGCGGACGGGAAAAGATTTTTATCTACTACTAATACAAGTAAGATTAGGTTAAAGCATGTAGATCCATAAATGCGGCTAATTTTTGGGTGGACGCCTGTTTCCGAATTAGTGTAACAAGAAAAGGGGGGGTCAGAAATTTCACAACGCCACAACAAGATTATTAATCATACAATTTTTTCTGTATACGATTCAAATTACATAAAAGAATTACGCCCTGGGGCATTAAGTTGATTACTAATATCAAACCATAAGCAGAAAATATGTGCGATCATTGGTTAATTTTTGAGGGTAAATTTTTGCACAGAATTTCAGCCACAAAAAAAGCAGCGAGCGGGGAATGTCAGTTTTTTTAAAATAAAGGATATGAAAAAGAAAGAGCAAAGCCAATATGAACAAAGGAAAAGATTGTATTTTTGTATTGTATAGACGAATTATTGCTTTAAGAGGGGACTCTATTATCGACATTAACATTAGACTGTCGTTGACTGATTACGTTCTTTTTGGGCGAATAAGGTTAATTCTGAATTCAGTTCGTTTTCCAAAAGCCA